ATTCCCCAGCTCTGTTTCTAGTAAAGCAAATTGCTCAACTTTTAGAACAACAAATTTGTTCTCAGAGGAATGCTGCAAAAATGATTTTTAAAAGCGCTCAGCCATAGCAATGATGAATTTTCTTCTTTCATCATTTGATCCAGGAGATTCTCCCTGCATGTCTTGGCTTATGGAGGCAGGAAATTTGCTGCTACCCATGAAGTTCTCTGCAGCCCCTCTATCTGTCTGCTGCTGTGACAGCTCTTTGGGCCTTCTCCTCCTTTTTTTGCTTCCCAGGAAAAGCAAAAAATAAATTTATCAGTTCCCTTGATTACTCTGCTTCAGCATCTCCAATTTTAAAATCAATTAAATATCAAAGTGAACCACAAAATCTCTCCATCTTTGAGCTCAAGCAAAGGCAGCCTAAATTCTGGGCATGCCAGCAGCTCCTGGGGGGAATTGCTGAGATGCAGACTGATATTGCAATTTACTGGGACTGGGGAGAGCAGCTATTCCCTGCTGAATTCCCTGAAAATTGTGGTGTCAAGCCCTGGGGTCACTGAGGTGCACAGAGCTCCACATTCATGATAAGAGTGTGGCTTCACTTGTGCCCAACCCAGGCCAAGCATTTTGAGGTCTTCTAACATCACACCGAGCTTGCTTACATGTTTTTTTTCAGGTTGTGTTCTATTTAAGAGCATGTGGACATTAATGAATATTGGTGAAATCTAAAAGTTCAAAATGATTGAATTTTCAACTATTTTCACTATTCAAAAATAGTGAATTTGGTGGGAACACAATCCCCTTTCTCAGTGTGTATTTAATTTGAGAAGACTACTTTAATGCTGAATTCTTTATGTATTTAATGTTTAGTAAAAGACTGCATTTATTTTTTAAAGTGAGCAGTTCCAGCCCAGTTTCTACATGGAGCTCTTTCATCTAATTCTGTTGGAAATGTGGGATAGCTGCAATTTACTGTAAATGAAGATGGATGTGGAAACCCATTCACCTTGATAATGCCAGGGAGGAATTTACCTGGAGGAATTCAGCACCTTCTGGAAAAGCAAACAAAAATCCTGTGCTGAGATGGTGACAATGACTTGCCAGTTAAACAGAAATATTGGACAAGTGGAGGCTGAGGGTTAACACTCCCCAGAAAATGACCTTTGCTGTGGTTTTTGCCCTCTGGCTGAGAAATGTTAAATAAAAAGCAGAGTGAGAAGTAGGTTAGTGAAGATGCAGCTGTCCTGACAGTGTTTGCACAGATCCAACATCTGCACAAAAGTGGCAGAGCTGCAAAGCCCTGATTTCAGTAGCAGCTCTGCTTTCCAAAGCTTGCAGGGTTCAAAAAAAAAAATCTTATTTTGTGGTTGGTAATTTGGCTCCTGGTGGTACAACATTCTATCCAGGTGCTGCTAAAAATAGGGCCCTTCATTTTCTTCTGGCAGGTTAGAATAGTAAGGAATATTTATAAGGTGTGTTTTTTCCTTCCCAGTTAAAATGTGCCTCCCTTGAATAAAAAGAGGAAGAGGTTTGGGTTGGTTTTTTTTTTTTTTTTATATGATGCTTAGTTTGGGTTAATGTTAAATTTCCTTCAGAGCTTGAACAACTTGGTGAAAGCTTTCCTAAAAATAGGAATTATCTTGGGATTGGTTGCATCAGAGGGCTAATGGGTGGTTGAAAACTTGACATAAGAAATAAACCATACATTTGACATTTTTTGTCACAGCCCCAGTGATTTTTGGCAAAACCCTCCAGTTGCTTAGTAGCTGGATGGTTTTCATCTGTTTTACTCCTGTCCTCTTAGAATAACTTGACAAAGCTGCTCATTTCTCCCTGTGGAGGAAATGATTCTCACAGACACAACCTTAATTTTTTATATTGATTGAGCATGTAGATATTGCACAGAACTGCTGAGCAGAAATGAATCTGTTCTGCTAAAACTTCTCAGTGAATACAGATGTTTAAAAGGTAAATGGACACCAAATCACTGCAGGATGACGATGCTAAAAGACAGAAATGCATTTTTTTCAGGCACTGGTTTTCAAAGCTTTTCAAGGTACAGTTTATTCCTGATTGATCTCTGAAGGCCTAAATAATGGTTACAATTCCAAGATAATTTTTCATCTCTAACACTCCAGCACCTTTTTTTGAATCCCATTGTGATCTGTAGTTTGACAAAATAATGCTTTACAAAACAATCTCTTGGTGAGCAGCTTCTACCAGAGATTACTGTGATTAAGAAATAACTCCTTGACAATAGTTTATTAGTTTTTGAATTTCTCAAACCTTTTCTTCAGAGCAACCCAGAGCCCTGAGCATCACAATGACTGTAATACATAATTTAAGATATTATTCTCTAAACTGAATGGGGATATAGAATTCAGTAAATCAAGAGAGACTTAATTTTTAAGTTTATTGAGATAACACTATTGCCTGCACAGAAGCTTTCTGTGCTGCAAAGAGAAGACAATTAGATTCCTGAGGGGCACGGTAATTTGCAATTGTATTCATTTGTAAAGCAGAAATAAATGTCAAGCCTTGTACAGCAAAAAGAGCATGGGGCCTTCATAATGGGGAAAAAAAAAAATATAATAAGATTTGTAGCTTGCTAACAGCTTCATTTGTGTGCTTAAACAAGGCAAAAAAGATACTTTTGCATGCAGTGGCCCTGCAAGAAATTGATGAACTTGGACTAAACTGGTAGAGAAGACTTTATACAACTGTTGTCAGGTTCTAAGAATCCTGTACTGGTGATAGAAATGTGAAGTTCTGACACCAGCAGTACTAAAGGAACATTCCACTGAACATTCCACTCTGCAGCACAAGGCAGGTGACACATAATTCATTCATTGAGGGATATATTGATAGCAGCAGATAAAAGAATGTATTTGAGTTCAGGTTGTGCTGAGATTTATTTTCCCAGGATGGGAGTTTTGATATCTGTCATCTCTCCATTTTTGCCTAACAAAAATACTTAGTAGGATCCTGTATATTTGCTTTTTACAAAGGGCTGCCTGGGTTCTGGGGTGGAATTTATTAAACTTCATTTCTGTTGTGCAATTTTATGGCATTTTCTATTTCCTTAATAAGACTTGAGGAAAGAACATTAATAAAAAAATTGATATTTAACTGCATGATCTGCTTTGGAGCCTGCAAAGAAACGTTAGGAAGGAGAGAGGAACACATTTTTGGAGAAAAGAGGATTTTCCAACCCTTTACTTTGTGTGTGAATTCCTTAGTCCTGAGGACTGAAATATGGTAATTTAAGAAATACTAAGAAAATTGACCTTGGCACAGATTTGAAGTGAAGCCTCTAATTCAGGGCAACTGTTCAACAAGAGATATCTGAGCCAGCTTCTTGAAAATGCCTGACCCAACAGGGCTAGGTGGGAGCAGTGGAAGGGACAGGTAGATAGATGGCCTTTAGGTGTGTGCCTTTTAAAACACTAATTTCATATAACACCCTGAAAACAACTGTTAAAAATTAGAGAGTTTTCTTAGGTCACTGGGTGAGAAAGTTAAAGTCTAAGGTTTAAGCCAGTTGAGAAGATAAGAGGCAAGATGGAGGATTTAGGGTGTTGTCTTTTCTTCTTTTCTTCCAGAGGTTTTTGGGTAGTAATGAGGGATTGAATAGAAAATGCCACAGTGCAGCACACAAGTGTTGAGTCATTGGGTTATTAAGAAAAATAATTAACTTGGCATTTGTTAATTGGGTAAATGGACATATAAAAATGTAGCTCCTTGTGCCTTGTATTATGTAATATAGATTAGAGAAGAATAAACAACCAAGTCTGAAGAGAAAACTGCCTCTCTCTCATCAAACTCAGTCCAAGGGGGAAAAGAACCCAGCCACGAGTGTCCCATCAGGACAGAAGGCTGACTGTCAAAACCTGCCTTTTTTTGACCATGAATTTTTAATATGAATTTGTTCCAGAATACAGATCTGTATCCCAGTCTTCTTATTCTCAAGCAGAACACGTTTGGGCTATTCAAAAGCAGAAAACTGATCTCACACTAAATGATTTGAAGAGCAAAATACTGAAGCAACTTATTTCAATGGCAGAATTCCCGTGGGTTTCTGAGTGGGCAGAAATGTGCCCCACACAGTAACTCTGCCTTTGTCTGGGTGTTACTGCTTCTCTATTCTGCCATCGTAGGTAACAATTTGTTCCAGCTTCAAATGACCACAGAGAAGCTTTTTGCAGCAAATTTAGAGGCTGGCTGAGGTTTGGAATTTTAACTCTGTGATTCCTATTGCTTCAGCGTGCCATTCCATGCCACCCTTCCACCATAACCTACCTAGCGTTGGGTCGTACTCCCAGATGAACCTCTTGGTCAGGAAGCGCACCACGAGAGCTGGAGGGACAAAGAGATTTCGGGTGAGAAGGACAAGACATCAACTCAACAGATTTTTTAAGCTCTCCCAGCAAAGTTTTCCATGTGAGTTCACAGGTAGCACTCCCCTGAACCGGGAGCAGGAGCCAGCGTTGCTGACTGGGGCACTGGAGAACTCGTCACTGTTAGTGGCCCACTTCACGCTTTTGGATGGGGGCAACAAAACAAAAACCCAAAACTTTTTGCAGCATTAAAGCCACTACTTTGGATGCTTCAGGTATCCTATAACCAGTGGAAAAAGCGTTGGTGGTTTTGGAACCAGCTTTGACACTTTAAAGTGATGGGGTTGATCGGAATGATTTTATTCTTGATGACTTGCCTTTGGATTGTAAATCTCGTAAGGCAGAAATAATTGGCTAAATAGCTTCCCTCTCTATTTTGGCATGCCTTCCTTGTAACAGTTTAACTTCCACATTTTGCCTGCTTGAAGAAAGAAATAGAAATAGAAAAAGAAAATAGAAATAGAAAAAAAGTTTAGGTTTTGGAGCACCGTAGAGGTAGCTCTTCATTTCAGCTTACAGGCTAATGTCTTGCTACTTATGTCCTTGTATTTAGTTTTTTCCATCCCTCCATACCCTTTAAAAACAACTGATACAGATTTTGATTATTCTTGAATTTAAAACTAAGCAGTGCTTTGAATTTCTAGTGATGTAAATGAATCATTTACTGTGGCACACCATCCAAAAGCCTTTCTGCAAATGAAGCCAGAGATCCCACTGCACTCCCTACGAGTGCAGCAATTACAGCTGCAGGAAAACTTTTCCTTGTCATCAGACCCATGTGATTTTTCCATTCTTGCAGGTGGACAGTAAAACCCAGCTCTGATTCTTTTCAAAACTGAAGCCAGGAGAATGCCCTTCAACCCAGACTTCTATGCCCAACAGCAGGATCAGGCAAGAGTCTGCAGAAGAAACCTAATTAATTAAGATTTGCTTAATCAGACAATCAGAATATTAGTTTCAAGAGGATTAGCTATGCCTTATACTCAGAGGGGAAATAAGAAGCTGATCCCAAGGAAATGAGATCATCACACAAGAAGCAATTTGAGGTTGGTGTTATTTTAAGTTTCTGTTTTTCCTTAGGAAATTCTGCTTTGATTTTTTTTGCTTGGGCTTTGCTGAAATGCTCTCATTGTTCCTCAGAATAGATGTGGCAATTCTCAAAGTAACTTTTCAAGTCATGGTCCTTAACCTGAATGTCATAGCACAAGAAGATGACCTCTTTATAGCTGATTTCCCATCCATGGTGATGTTCCACCAAGACTTTTTTTCTGCATCTTTTATCATTGCTGGAATAGTTCAAGCACCTTGTTGTTTTGAAAGTTTGGTCATGATTCTTCTCTAATGGCTAGTAATAGATTCTCTCTTACTATCTTTGTCAAGGACAGATTTAAAAACAGATTGAAAAAAAATTAAACAAATTTTAAATGATTTAAAACAGATTAAAAAAAAAAAAAATCCCCATACTCTGAAGGACAAGCTAATGAAGAGAGAGAAAATGCAGAAGAACCTGTCCAAATATTTAATACTTAAACATGGTCTACCTATTTATGATGTGCTTCCACTTGTAGATGGAAATTGCTGCAGAGGAGAGTAGAAATGATGGAGAGGACTGGAAGTCTGTCAAGCATGGCTAAGACAAGGTCACAGAGAGCAGCAGCTCTGAAGGGAAAGAGGGAGAAGAGCTGATTTTGGATGTGAAATATAAGAAAAGTAAAAGTATAGAAGTATATAAACAGAAGTACAGAAAGTGACAAGCCATAAGAAGGAGGAACTGGACTGGAGTGGTGAGAGGCTGGGAGGAGAAACCCCAGTTTCATCCACAGGATGAAATGGTGCAGGTGTGCAGAGCTGAGGAATTGGAGGTCACAGGTGTGAGCTCTGCTGAGAACAGAGAAGCCAGGCTGTATTTATCTGCAGCACATGCAGATAAGAAAGGGTGGGAGGTGGCTGCCATGCAGAGTCAGATGGCAATTTTCTCTCTGCTGGCAGACCTCAGTGTGAGCACAGTGAGCCACTCTCCAGGCACTGCTGCCAATGATGGATTTTTTTAAGTACTTTTCTTTTCTGTGGGCGCAGTGAAGGGAAGAAAACCCAACCCCAGTGTGTGGGGAACCATCAGCTCCAGAGCCACGTGCTCTGTGTCAGTTTTGGGGCACACACCTTGGGGCTGGGCAGGCTGCGCTCTCCTCTCTTTCATGGCAGTGGTCACAGCACATCCCATAAAGCTTTTCACTTCCACACGTTTTTGTGAGGCTGAAGATTAGCAGCATTTCAGATGGGGAATGTGAGCAGCTCTTGATCCAGAGTCTGTTCTGTTTATAAGTACTGCAGACTATGTTGGATGGGAAATGTCCTCATTTTGGCCCCATTAGGGGTGCTTAGCAGATGGGCCTCTGACATCCAGTGGAGTGTTAAAACAAATGTATGTGACTTTGCTGCCTGATTTGACTGAAAATAGACATGAGGTCACCCACTGCCAGATTACATCACTTTTCTGTAAAATAACTCTGCCAGCAGAGGAATCAGGAGTGAGGACATTAGCAATTCACCAGACTTAGAGCTGGAGCAGTCAGATTCCTGCTGCTGGCTTAAACTGATGCTTTGGGCAAAGCAATAAAATCCCCCCATGTCCTCAGCAATGTTGCAGAAAGATGAGATGGGCATTACTTCCCTCTCACCTGAGCAAAGCTGTTTGGCCAGTCAATTTTACTTAGGCCATGTTTAATGCTAATAATGAGCCCAAAACGAGCCCAACAGGTTGAAGAAAACCAATCCAAATGCTGGGTTTCGATTCAAAATAACACTGAGACTGAGACTGCCTGAAACACATTATTTTCTGATTAAATTGACTAATTGCAATATTCATATTAAAATGGCCATTTCCAGTGCTGTTCCTCAAACTCATTTTGAAGCAGCCAAGACTCAGCCTGGTGCAGTTGTTAATAGGAGTGATTTCATGGCCCTCCACTGAGATGAGTCCAGGCTCACTTCAGAACTTGCAGGCTTGGAAGGAAAGAATCTCCAACAAACTCTTGTGGATTCCCGCTGTGTTTTTCGGAGACATGACCATCACCAGAGGGAATTGATGTAACGTCCCAGCAAAGGAAGAACAGACTCATGTCTCTTTCTGCCTTTCCTGACACCCTGGCTTCCAAGTCAGCTGTTCTGTACAGGGCATAAATTAGGGTAGAACTTGGCACAGGGCTTTCATTCACTCATGTTTAAAAGTTCTGCCTTAGAAGTTATTCTTGGAGAAGAATCATGACTATCTGTCAAATACATATGCAGTGCAACTCCACTGAAGACAATGAAGTTATACCAGGATTTAACTTGGCATATAAATCAAGATTATCAACCACATAATTAATCAATTTCTTTCAAACTTGTGTGGCTGAGTCCCTTACTCAGCTTTAAAAATCCCCCATATATTTTGGAATTTTTTTTTTTGTGTGTGTGTGTGTGTGATATTTTGCATCTTGCTTTAGATCTTTGGATTTAGTACCACATAAAATGCTCTAGCTAAATTTACAATCTGTCTGAATACATATCTTTGTGGATTTGGTATCATTCCAGCTAATACAAGCTGAGTTTTTTGGGGAAGAAAGGAAGCAGGGTTCTACTTGAAAAACAACCCCCGTCCCAAAAAGTTACAGAGTTCAAAGTTATTCTAAGAAAAATAACAGTTTTCCACAGTGAAATAACTGCATGATGACTCTTTTATGCCATGAGAATTTTCAGCTATAAAAATGGTCTGAAAGTAGTCCCATTATTTAACTTATCAACAAGTCCATTCCTGGTGCCACGATGATGTGTCATCAGTAAACCACACTTGGCAAGAGACACCACCAGTGTGGTAAAACCCAAAGGTTATAATGATCAAAAGCACTTTCAGAATTGAAGCATTTCACTTTTTCTTAAAATATGTATCTTTGTTAGAGAGTTCATCCCCCATTCACCTTCTCAGGGGCTCTTTATGTGCTGGAATTTCAGTGCCCCTGGAAGATGGGGTGAGTTTCATCCTACAGCCCTGTGTCCACCTTTGGGAAATAATGGTTTGTTTTATAGACAAAACCATGAGAATGGTTTTCCATTCCCTTGGAACCTCTCTTCCTCTGCTCACTGTGGCCACTTCTGATGTTGGGATCTGATGCAGCAAACGAGACTTTTCCTACAGTAAATCTAATGGAGCAAAGCAAGGTCAATAAGAAAGAAAAATAAGGAGAGAAAAATAAGAGAGAAAAATAAGGGGGAACTTGAAGTACAAAAATATTTTGTTGTACACTGCCCTTCTGTTTCAAACTCTGCACGTTTTAGGCATATTTAAGTCACTGTCTTAAGCAGTAAGCTGTTCAGAAAAAAATCCTGTTTATTATATTTTTTCTTTAACAGCACCGGGAGGTCCTCCACTGACTGCCAATATAAGTTAAAAAGTATGTATACTTTAATATATAAAGATCAGTTAAATATAAATACCAAATGTATATATTCTTATATGTACCACATAGCAGTTTATATACAATTTATATAGACAATGTGTGTCTAAATACAGGTGTACATGTGCAATTGTAAATACAGACCAAGATTGGACAGCTGTGTGATGAAATGTGGTGCTTTTGCCTTTCAGGAGGCAAAATGTGTCATGCAAGCCCTTTTCTTCATTGCTAATGGTAAGGGATTCAAATCTGAGCACCAAGAATGGTTCAAATGTCTTTTTGTTCTGGTGGAATATAAAGGGACTGGAATACCAGTCTCAAATATCTGTCTCAATTCCAACAGCAGGATCATGGTTGAAACCACCATTCCATGTTCAATTATTTCAAAACCACTAATAAGCTTTCAAATGTACAGTATTACGTGCTGTACATTGGATTTATCTTTACAGTGAATAATATTTTACATGCAGAACGTGAATGCAGTAGGACTCCAAAGGCTGTTTCAGATAATAATTCAGTAGGTTGATAAATTAGATGTCAACAACTGACCTTCTTTTTCTCAAGTTGTTTGGAAAGAGTATCCTACTGTGGACCAGACAAAGACCACAGTTCTGCTCAGCTCTGGTTTTTAGCAGTCTCCATCAGGTTATTCATATTCCAGCCTGACTAAATGTCAGTGTATTTCATGTCACTTTTCAATTTCTGCTACAAGGCTTTGGGGAATATTTCTTAGTGGCAATTTCTGTCTATATCAGATGTAATTGCATTTTGCTTCGGTGGGAAATATGTGATTTTAGGAACTTCTGAGTGGAAAGAGCCTGGGGAAAAGTAACCTGTTTTAAGGAGCTCAGCTGAAATTCAGCTCAGCTGAAATTCTGGAAGTCCATGGAAGTGTATTTAAATATTCATCTCAACTGCCTTAATAGGAGCCTGGACTTGTATGCTCCTCTGGATAGTCCCCCCGATTTTTTTATTGATTGGTGGTCATTCATCTCATCCCCACTGAACAGGAGGATTTTTATAGTAATGTTCTCCCCACCACTTTCAGTACCCAAAGCATTTCTTTACAAAGGTTGCTGCCTATGGAACTCAAGCAGGATGCTTAATTTATGTTACATTACCCCATTCCATAACATATAATCTCAGTATAAGGTTGTTTATTCCACAGGTGCCTCTCATGTGAAAGATAAATGATCAGACTGGTGTGTCTAATGGCTTTGATCATTTTAGG